ACATATAAGGTGACAGTTTACAGTTAGAAGCAAATTATTCACAAGAAGAGTGCTAAACCTTCTTAACTTATATTCTCATTTCAACTGTTTTATTTCTACTTATATCACGTGTATTCAACTAGCACATTAAAACTTTAAGTAAATTTAAGTTTACAAAGAATAAAAACAGTGGGATTAACATAGTCAAATTTTAGATTGAAGTGCTAATAAAGAAGGACCAGCATTTCTCAATTCACAAATTGCATTTTGTAGATTTAAATAGAGGAATAACGTAGACATCAACGATCCTTTTTATTTTGCTAAATTGACTTAAAATTAAAAACAAAAAAAGAAAAAGGGAATTGTTGTTGGAACTCCAAAAATCTCATTTTGCACTCTAAACATTCTATAATTAGAAAAAAAATATACTTATGATAAGTGTAGAACGAAATTTTTGAAGTGATAATAACCAATAGCGGAACCAGGAATTATTTAGTGGGTGGCTAAACTAAAATTATTACTAAGAGATCAATTGGTTAAATTTTTTTGTTACTTACATAAAGTTACACAATAAAAAGCCTGAAAGTAATAATTTAAAGTAAGAAATTTAACTATGACTAAAGCAAGTTTCAACTAGATTTAACAAATAAAACATTTGAAGTTGCAACTTATAGTTGAAAGAAACATACATCATCAATCTTGTCATAACAACTTAACAAATAAAAGTAAGGTATATATTCAAGTTGTGCCCTTCTATTCTTAATGGAATTGAAATCCTTTGTTATTTTTTCTGAATCAATAGTTATTAACCTCTTCATTGAACGTTAACCTAATACATTAAACAACAATAATACAAGTTTATATAATAAATTATATTTCTAAGAAATCTATCAAACTATCAGAAAAAATATATTAAACTTGAAATTGAATTTTTAAAGTACGATTGTACGAACTCTTAAAATTAAAGCAATAAACAAATAAAATCATCAAGTCATAAGAATAAAGTGGTTAAAAACTTACCTATTGATGAGAAAAATCAATAACTTTCTCACTTGTATGCTTGGTTTGTGTGAACTGGATCTGCAGACGTGACAGAATGAAGGCTTTCTGAACTGAAAAGTGAAATAGGATCACTGTTGTACCCCAAAAGTCGAAAGAAAAAAAAAAACTACTCCTAGGACACCTAAAATAATAAAATATTAAATCTACTTTTTAAAACTGGATGACTACTCCAAGGAAACCTAAACTAATCACTATAGACTACTTCATGTAAACTAATCAAATAAAAAGATTTATTGAGACGTGTGTATCAGTGTGTGTAGAATTTGAAATATAATTGTTGACCCTAAAAACTACCAAGCCTACGTGGCGCGTAAGCCGAGTAATCTATAAGCTAACTACGTCCTTTGGTGAATGCGGGGCGTGCCAACTCGTCGGCCGAGCTCGGCCGAGGAGTAAATTTGTTGATGTTGCGTTGGGCGCGCGGCTGACTTCTGCGTCTTGCGACTGCGGCCGAGAAAGGAACGCGTCTCGGCCTCTTGGGCTCTCGAACCTGAAGACAAGGTTACTATTCTTACGAAGTTCACGAATCGCCGTCGTCGGATTCGGTCACAGTGATGTTATTCGTCAGAGTAAACTCTCGCCGAATCGACACCAAAGTATAAGGGCACAAATACTCAAAGCGAATATAAGTCTTAATAGTGAACGTGGTTCGGCCGTTTGAATGCCGAACTCTAAATCCCACTTGGGAGTATCCAATCATAAAATAACTCGGCGTGCAATGCGCCGAGCTCGATAAACTGTAACACCTCACTTCGCCGAGAAGGCTAAGAAGATGACCTCAATCAATAAGGATCCGGAAATCCTTCTCGACCGAGACTTGGATAGATAACCAACCGTCCTCGCCGCAGTGCTGTTGATGCCAACGGAAGATACTGCGAGACCGGCTGATTCTACGATGACAGAGCTATCTATGCCGACTTAAGATATCACCGGTTGCTTTCACAGTGCTGTTGATGCCAATGGAAGATGTGTCAGCGAAAAGAGAAAATAAAAATCTCAAAGTTATTGAGAGAATTTGCGCAGGGCAGTTGTGTATTGAATTGGAGAGATTTGAATGATGCACAACCTCTTCTATTTATAGCAACGGATCCCCCAAGGTCGAGTTAAAACCTTATTCGGACTAGGACTTCTTCTCCTGATCAAACACTGACTCGACCAATCCTACTTTCATTATGACTATGAACCTAGTCCCTTATTGAACCGGATTCGCTTTCGGGTTATTAATCCTGCCGAGACTTCTTATTGCACCAGGACTCGACTTGTCTTACGTCATGACCTAGCCGACCTAGGTTTGGAGGCCCACGTACTGAACGATCCATAGCACCCTTGTCGCAAGGCTTTCCAGGCCGAGAATGATTCTATACTCGGCCCAAACTATTATTTTGGGCCTAAACAATAATAATAAAATTTTTTGATATTGATTAAAGTAAATAACTTATTTAATATTTATTAACTCTTACTTTTTCTAAAAGTAGTTTTATTTTGCAGAACTTTTATTTATTGGGTGGGCTATAACAATTAAAATAATATAATAGTCTAAATTATCAGTATTTTTAATCTTAAACAACTAAAACTCTCCCTATGCTAAAGCCCACCCTAACCTTGTTACTGCCTCCGCCGTTGATAATAACAGTTCCTAAAAAGAAAAGCAAATGTATCATCCACATTCTTTATTTTGAGATTTACTATTCAGTCTTTTTGTTTTTTTAAATTGCATTTAAAAGTTGGCACTAAATCAAATTTAGGTTAAAGCTCTAGTTTTGGTAATTTGCATTCAAATGTATCATTCTTCCATATTATTTATTTAACGAAACGAAATACTATAAAGAGAGGATTGTTGCCAAATTTAAAGACACTGAAAAGAGGTATAAATACCCCAATTTTATGCAGATGTTGAAGAAGTCACTTCTCAATTCAGGTTTATCAATTTTTAGTTTTCAGAATCCTAGATTTTTTCAACGTTTTTCTTTTCAGAGAGAAAGTTGGAATGGGAGATGATTGTTTTAAGGGTGGAATTCTTGTTCACGGATTGAATGTTTGTAATACAATTAGGGTTCATATAATCTCTTGCCACACGCATACCTGTGTAGCAATTGACACTTTAACATTAAATTCGTTTTTGGGTTTCAAAATTTAATACTTGAATTATATTTTGTTATTAACAAATATTAAAAAAAAATGAAGCCACTATTGACCATCCACTACGTGGGTTTCTTTTTACTTTTTAATGTATAATTTCACTCAAAATTTAAACTGTTTTGAATTATTATTTTGTCTCTTATTATTTAAATTGTCTTTTGCGAAAGCTTTAATAACGAAGAGGCATTGCTGTTGCATTTTAAATGTTTCGTTTTTTATCGTTCTCGTTTTATATATGTAGATGACCTGATTAATTATTAAACATATTACTCGAAAAAAATATGATATAAAAATACTACCCACAATAAATAATGTTCACATTCAATAAAACAAGTTTAATCTATTGTTTCACCTTTAATTTAAATGAGTTATATGGTGTTGTATAACTTGTATGAATTTGTATACGTCATGTGTGAGTTAAATAAGTATTGTGTTAAAGTGCGTCATTTTCAAATAAATAGTTTTTCAATCGTGTTATATGCGTTAAAACGACTATGACACGAATACGATTATAACTAACCTAAACTTGTTTTTTCTTGCTGTTTTTTAATACAGTTATCATATATCCATGTGTGTTTTATCTTGTTATCAACCAAAATAAGAGAAGTACTAACAAAATTATGGAATAACATAAAAGGATAATCTCTCCTAACCAATAGTAATCTTAAAACCATTAATAAAATAACCCAAAAACTATTGGCGTTGACTGATTGATAGCGTGAACAGTTAATTAATCAGAATGTTTAAACATTGATAGTGTTTTTGAATTTTGACTCCAAAAAAAGAACTTATCAAGTAAAGCACTTGATTTTGATGAAGGTTTTACTATAAAAAGACTATCATGAAGCAAAATAAATAAATAAATAAATAAATAAATATGAAGAAGCGAGAAATCGTCAAGAACAAACAAAGACAGCTAAGCCAAAGATCCTCATCGCCATTCCCATCCAATCCTAAACAAAAATATGAAAAATCAAAACCAACCACATGGCTTCACCCAACTCCGTGGGTCCTCAACGTACCCCATATTTCAAAATTAAATATAGTTAATTTAAACTAGCATATAGGCACATACAAAGTGTGTGAGAAAATTTTTTATTTTTGTTTTTGAAATAGAAGGAGAGAAAGAGAATGATAGAGAATGTGGGAGCGAGAAATTTTATATTTTATATTTTTTAATTAGAGACATGTTATGATTACATGTAGGTGATGCTTAAAAAAAACAACAAAATTTAGTTGTGTGAAATTACATTTATGCCCCATATTTCTTATTCATATTCTGTTTTAATTAGAAGGTTAAACTGATAATTTTATAAAAGTTTGGTTGACAATTAGTGTTTTATTAATTAGTAGAGATAATAAAAAATATATTAAAATAAAAATACCTTTCAGTTTTTTGTAGAGCTAATAAAAAGTTCTTTCGAGGGACCAGCTGGTAACTGACAATTCACCATTTTTAAAAACGGAAGACTCAAAGCGTCTTTCCGCTTCTTTCTGATTACTATCATGTAATTCACCGTGCCCACTCGAATACAAAATGTGCCAAATAAAATACGAGTCTAAAATTCGTAACCAACCTTTGTGATGGATATAACAAAAAGTTGGCAAACATAAAAATAGGTTGACAAAATAAATAAAAATAAAAGAAGTGACTTTTTTTTATTTAAAAAAAGTGCAAGACTTGCGTGAGGGGTTTCCTTCCTTCGCGGTGCCCGCGACTCACGGTTTTCTTCCATTATTAAATTTGAATGCCAAATCGAATCCCTTATTTCCGTCTCCATTATTTATATATAAATCCTTTCCACAACTCATTCAGTCATTCTTCAAGTTTTCAAAAATACCATTTGCTTTTTGCACCCTCTTTTCTTTCTTGAGGTCCCCAAAGAATTTGCTAATTCTCTCCTTTTCTCATCCACCATCCCAACTTTTCTCTCCCCCCCGCTATCTTTTTCCCATCTCCCAAACAACTTTATCTCTACAGAAAACATTAACTAATATTTGCCTCCTTGTCCAACTATATATACCATCTCTAACCCCTTACTTATTATACTTGCCTACCACCACTTTTTCTCCCAAAACCCTAATCTTGTATCTGTACCTTTTTTTACTCGGTGTGTGTGTGTGTGTCTCTCTCTCTCTCTCTCTCTCTATATGTAGAAAAGACAATCCTAGATTTGGGTTTTGTTTGTGCCCCTTTGGAACCAAACCCACAGCCCACTCTTCTATTTTCTCATTGGTGTACAAAATGGATGACACCAGGAACCACAATAGGAAGCGAGCCCGAGATGACTCGGAGAACTCGGACTCCTCAGAAACCAACCATACCCAACCCGCGTCAAAACTTGTCCGAGTTGACTCGAGCAACTCGGTTGCCAGCTCCCATGAGTCGGGCACCACAGGAGAGCAATCGAACAACTCGGATGTTAACTCGGGCGAGTCGTTGACTCAGACTCCCGACCGAGGTGACTCGGACGAGTTGGGTATGGGCTCGGCAGAGGTCAAGCTGATACAAGACGACCTACTAAACATCCTGGACGACTCTGACAACGTCCCGGAGATTCAAGGCCTTGACTCGGTGATTAAGAGCTTCGAGGAAGAGATACAAGTTCCGGCATTTCCCGCGTCTGAAGCCACGTCAGATTCAGGCCAGTCGACGCAGCCAGAACTTGGTTATCTTCTGGAAGCTTCTGACGACGAGCTTGGTCTTCCACCGACCAATGGAGCAAGTGAGGAGGGAAAAATCGAGGCTGCTGATTTCACCACGAGTGGCTCCGAGGCCGTTGAATTGGATGGCATGGTAGGGTTCGAGAACGACATGATTCCGAGTTACGACTCGTTCGACTTCGGAATCGGTGGCGACTCTGAATTTGCTAATAACAATTATATTGGTGGGGTGGAGTACCTGGCTTTAGACGGTTTGTTTGATTACCCGGGGGGCGGCGTTGCAGATGTTTCGTGGCGAACCGAGTCCCTTTCGGCTTTGTAGAAACGTTTCTGGCGGCATGCCGGGGACCGCTGCATGCGTAAAATGGGGTTTTGTTTCCTTTTACGTGTTAGACACGCAGATGTGCATATTAGGTTGTAAAACTCGACAGAAAGCAAAGAAAAGGAAAAGAAAACTGTGAATTGAACAAAAGAAAATTATTTTCTTTTGTTTCTGTAAGATATTACCTGGCATAAAAAATTTGGTTATACATGTTCATTAAAATATCTTAATTTAAAAAAAAAATTCGTTTCAATCTAAACTGCGCGTGAGTGACCCTCAGTCTCCACTTGGATTATTTTTTCAGATGAGTTCTTAGTTTGCATGCGAGTGCAGAAAGTTATATATTTGTAATGGTTTTGATACTAAAATGGTCTGTTATTGAGTGACGCTGACATAATTTTCATATAATAAGATTATAATATCCACACAAAAATTTCATTAGATCATTTCGTCGAGCATTTAGTACACCTATCAATTCATGTCAACCTATGTTGAAAGTTTGTGCCAATATATGTTAACAACGATTATTATTTGTAGATATGCTTGTCGATGCAGAATACTATAGAGATGTTGAAAACTATCAATGCTTTACAACTAAAGTATTTCATATTAGAAGAGAAAAATGAAGATAAATATGATCGAAGAAGGTAGAAGAAGTATAAGGAGAAAGTTGTAATTTAGTTTGTTTATAGAGTCAAATACGATGTATAAACGAACATACATGCGGTTTTTGAAGTTTTTGGGGTCAAGTACAACCAACACCTCCATGTTAGTTCCGCCACTGTTGTTATGGCTAATTATTACTTATTGGTTGACTGTGAAACATAGAATTTGTGGTGTGTGATTCAAAAACAGGAGGGAAGAGATGGTGGCCGGGTAGATCCTTCGATTTGAAGAGTTAATGGTTTTGCTATCGTTTTCATGATTTCTTTGTTCCACAGCACAGCTGAAAGGCACATATCACTGAAACAGTGCAGATGAAAGTAGTAATAGAGGTCGTTGATTATACATCAATTTCCGTAAATGAGATACATGTGGTTTTAGTAATTTTATTGTGCGGTATTATTCACACACCTTTTTCATACATTTTTTTTCAATTCCATGATTCAACCGAATAAATTGGAAAAGATCAAAAATAAAAATTAATAAAAATTGTATGAAAAGTAAAAATAGATAATGGATAGCAGTAGTTTTTTTTAATGACTGGTTAAGGAATTCCACACTCATTCTTTACTTATAAAGTTATGATTATTGAATCGAAGTGCATGTTTCTGTCAATGAACTGTTAGTATTCTTTTGAAACACAATGATGATATATATTTCATATCTTATTGGTTGCTTGCCAACAAATCAAAGAAGAACAAATTAAATATATGGAAACCAAAATGTTGGATTTTTACATCAGTTTATTATGGTGTTGTTTAAGTTTTTCTATCCAACTAATTCAGTCACAATATTATAAGTTATTTAGAATGAATCTCATATTAGACAAAAAAATCTTTAAAAAACTTCATTTTAATCCTTGGCAAAGATGACTTTTAGATTAAAACTATAAGTAAGATCAAAAATCTAATTTTAGTTTCTTGATACATTAATAACCTCATTTATTAATTATTTCTCTTTTCTCTTCCTAATTTTTAATGTATTAATTTTATTTCATTATAATTTTCATTTATCGTAATCTATTTTTTTGTAAACATTTAGATAAACTAATTTTTGTTATAGTTTGGGCCCAAAATATCGGTTTGGGTCAAGTTTAGAATTGTTCTCGGCCTAGAGGCCGTACTTAGGAGTCGCTGGGGGTCATCCGGTTTATGGGCCACATAGCCAAGGTTGGCCGTGTCCTATTAGGAATCCATGGGTAGTTGAATCTTGATACGATGGGGAGTTTCGACAGGATAAGGATGTTGAAGTTTGGGATTGAATACGGCCTGATAAAGGGGTTGAGTTCAAAATCCTAGTAGGAGTATGACTGGTCGAGATAAGGTTGGATCGGGGGAAGGAGTTCTAATTCGAGTATGGTTGTGATTCGATTAGAAGCAGGTTGACTGCTATAAATAGAGGAAGGATGACATCATTAAAGTCCCTCCAATTCAACACACAAACTGCCCTAAGCAAACTCTCGCTCTACGCGAAACCTCTCAACAACCTTAAGATTTTTTTTTTTTTTGCCGACACATCTTCAGTTTGGATAAACAGCACTGTGAAGGCAACCGGCGAACATCTTCAGTTTGGATAAACAACACTGTCGCCGTAGAATCAGTCGATCATGAAGCACCTTCAGTTTGGATAAACAGCACTGCGTCGAGGCCAACTGGTTATCTATCCAAGTCTCGGTCGAGAAGGATTTTCGAATCCTTATTGGCAAAGGTCATCTCATTAGCTTTCTCGGCGAAGTCAGGTGTTACAGCTTACTTGGGCTTGGCACGTCGAACGCCAAGTTGTTTTATGATTGGATATTCACAAGTAGGCTTTAGAGTTCGACATTCTGACGGCCGAACCACGTTTACCATCAAGACATATATATGTTTTGAGTATTTGTGTCCCTATACTTTGGTGTCGATTTGTCATGCTTATACTCTTGCGAATATAATCACTGTGGCTGAATCCGGCGCCGACGATTTGTGAACTTCGCAGAACTAGTAGCCTTGTCTTCAGGCTCTAGAACCCAAAGGCTGAGACGTGTTACTTCCTCGGCCGCAGTCGCGAGATTCAGAAGTAAGCAGCACACCCAACACGACATCAACAAATTTTACTCACCGGCCGAGCTCGGCTGTCGAGTTAGCACACCCCGCACACAACCGAAGGACGTAGTTAGCTTATTAATTACTCAGCCTGTGCGCTGCGTAGGTTGTTTTTAGGGTCAACAGTTATATAATATATTTTGATGTACTTTGTCTTCTTCATTTATGTACATTAAAAACATAATACTACATTTTGGTACACATATTTAGGTACATACATTTTGATACAAACATTTAGGTACATTAATTCAATATATTGTATTTCGATACTAACATTTCGGTGCATACATTTCGGTACACACATTTAGGTACATTTATAATACATTTTGGTGCATATATTTCGGTACATGCATTTCGGTACTAACATTTAAATACGTTAGTTTAATATAATATATTTCGGTACAAACATTTCGATACTAACGTTTAGGTACATTAATTGAGTCTTTCAAGTTTGAAGAATGTTAAATAAAATTAATAAATTAAAAAACTCGTTTTTGGTCAAAAAATAAATTAAATATTGTATGTTAATAAATTTAAATATTTAATGGGAGACATTAAATAAAATGCATATTAATTATTTTGAATTAAGGACAAATCAAGAGATGATAATCAATATGTAATCTAACACCAGGTTTATTTTAAATTTCACACTTCTTGAAGGATTAAAGTTAAAAAACCCCAAAAATCTTTTATGTGTTAAATAATTTGACTACTCTTTGTATCACCAATTAGTTTTATAGTAAATTTTCAATTGTTTTCATAAGCATAATAACAAAAAACTATCATAATTAATTACGGTGGCGAGACTAAGAAATGAATTAAGATTAGTCTGTCACTAAAATCCAGATCCATCCAAAGAAAAAAAAACTAAAATAAATACAAAATTCACAATTAATTGGGTTGCTTGCCACCAATTTACAAGTAGAACAAATTGTCTGAGAGGTGTTGGGATATTTAAGTTAGCTTTTAGGACATACACTTGGTGTCTAAGACCTACTCCAACATTTCGAATAAAACCCAAATTTTAAGTTCTAAATTTACCCCAACTTGTCCAACCCTTGGGACAAATATGAGTTAAAGCTCAAAACTCTTTTTTGAGCCAACTTTAGCCTAGGATTTCCCCCGGGGTTAGTGGGGTTGGTACACCATATATGTATATATTTTTTAGTCTTATATTTATAAATTTATTAAATCCAACAGTTAAGATCTAATTTGATGAAATCCAACGGTAAAACAAATATCTAACAGATTAAATCCAACGACTAAAGTAATAATTTTTTTTACGTGTTTCATATTCTTTCATAGTGTTTTACGAGTTTCATTTGTGATTTTTCAATATTTTTTGGAATCTAAATATTTTAAGGTTAAAATGTTCATAAAATTAAATTAGAATAGTCTACATAATGTTTTATTTTTAAAAAGTTACTTTAAGAAAAAAAATAGCACTTTTTTCTGGGCCAAATTTAGCCCAGGATAACTTTTTTCTGGGCCAAAATTAGCACATAGTGTTTCACGAGTAGTTTTTGACACGACACGAAAATAACGGGTTTCATGTCAACACGATAACTTATCGGGTCATTATCGAGTGACCCGTTAATAACGGGTATACAAGTGGGTAACCTGTTTCGACCCGTTAAGAAAAAAATTATTTTGATAATTTTAAAGTTTAATTACTAAAAGATTTCTTGTAAAATACAATAGCCATATTAATATATACAATATATTCTATATTAAATATATAGTTTTGTATTATTATTCTATATAAGTTTTAAAATAAAAGTTTTAGTCATTATTTATTTTTATTATGAGAGTTCCTTATTATCACTACTAGGATAAATTTTACTTAACATGTTGTTGTCCAAAATTAAAATAAACTAATATAGTATTTGTATAGGCAATGTAGTATCCCACATCGACGACGTGAGGGCTGTCCTTGGGCCTTATATGTACAAGCTCACATGTACTCTTCAGAGACGCGTTTTGGAGCTGCGGCTTGCAAAAACAAATCCGTGAGTGGGGTCGGACCGGTGCGCCGGGTTCCACCACAAAGCGGACAATATCTCTGCGGAGGAAGGCGAGTTGTATACTGTTTGGTATCAGAGCCAGACTCACGGCCGTTCGGTGTGCCGACGAGGACGTCGGTCTCCCTAAGGGGGGTGGATTGTAGTATCCCACATCGACGACGTGAGGGCTGTCCTTGGGCCTTATATGTACAAGCTCACATGTACTCTTCAGAGACGCGTTTTGGAGCTGCGGCTTGCAAAAACAAATCCGTGAGTGGGGTCGGACCGGTGCGCCGGGTTCCACCACAAAGCGGACAATATCTCTGCGGAGGAAGGCGAGTTGTATACTGTTTGGTATCAGAGCCAGACTCACACACCCCGTCCCGAAGGAGGGCATGCTGGCCGTCACGTGAGAGTGACGTAACCATTTGCACAGTACGGAAGCTTTAATTATACAACTTCAAAGTTGATACACCCGAATGTGAGTCCTAATTTTGTCCAATCTGTCAGAACACCGTCGAATTCCTCGTAGTCACCACACC